ATCTGGAACGGCGGAAGCGATTCAGAGGATCACTGAGACTCTTGTAACGATCAACGCTGACGGCCAAAAGGGTCAAAATCGAGGTGGGTACAGTGATGAGGTACACCGTGATCCAGGCCTTGCACATTATTTCTCCGTGCTTCCAATGCCATTGAAGAAAAAGTCCCTCAATGTCAAACGGCACAGCAATGATCACGATGAGAAGATCGGAGAACGCCAACGAGAAAATAAAGAGGTTTGTTGGATTATTGCGAAGGTTCTTGTTGACGAGAATAGCGTAACAGACCAAGAGGTTTCCAAAGATTGCTACTGTTACGATCAAAATGTAACAAGTGGCGACTGGATACACGAAGGTGGGCTCGAAACCGAACGAGGGTTCTTCCTTACTGGAGTGATTTGCGGTGGTGTAGTTCATCTTGTTATTCCGGGGCTGTTCCGCCTTCCAAACTTCCCTTTGACTTTTCAAGGAAACAAACACCTCTGCTTTACGGTGTTCCAGAGAATCTCTTCTAGGTTTCAGCGTTTGTCAATTAAGCTGTAACTCGCACTTCAAGTTGTAAAGTGGTAATGACTGATTGAACAACAACGAGTTTTCTTATGCACTCACGCTTTCTCGTATTTACATAATGATTCAAATGAACTAAAAATACATGAAGGATATTACACGGTGGCGAGAAGATATGAATTTTATGTTCGAGTGGCAAGAACAATATCTCACGAGTGAGCGAAGCGAACGAGTGAGATANCATACGGAAAATACGCCACTCGGGTCCCGGATGAAGTGGCGTATGGAATCTACGAGTGGTTTAGTTCCCAGTAAAACACTCTTCTCCATATAATAAAAGGAGCGCCGACTATCTGGGAAGCAAAATATCAGTAATTTTAGCTTGGATGACTTGGGATTAATTTAACACAAGGCACTTCAATTTTTGTCGGTTTTTTATCATCCTCAATATCACTATATATGTAAAATGAATCACTGCGGTTGTTTTTTTTAAGCAAAAATGCAATTCCAGGGAGGTTCGTTTTTCTTTTAAAATGGTTTTAATTTTACTTTCAAGTTCCTATGGAAGTAAATAGCTGTTATTTAAAATGGTTAGAAGTAGAAAACGAAGGATTTTTTTAGAGCACAATTAGCATAAGAAAGATCTTAAACTAATATCACACAACACCTTCATCTCAAGGTGAATGGTAGCAACGCGTCACGTGACAAAGGGGAATTTGGAGGACAGATATTTGGATTGGTTGAAATGTGTCACATGACAGTCACGTGATAAGATGACGCGAAAAAATAGAGCTTGTCTTTAAATCTCCCTTTGTATTGGTAGACTTTGTGCTAATTCCGTCACAAAAGCTGTTTTTAAACTATATATTTCCCAAGGTAAGAGGTACCTTCAAATGTAATGTCGGCATCCGGGAACTATATCGACAAAAACAAAGTTAGAAATACTTTTTTTGTTTCTTTATGATTGAAAGAGAAAGAGAGAAAAGATAAACAGTTTGATCCACTTCTTGGATAAATACTATCTATATGCACTTCTATTGTGATGCTAAGTAACTTTGTTTTATTCAGTGAGCAAATGAGACAAAAGTTTCTGATTATATATGATTTATCAGAGACTTTCTTTAACAAAGGGAAGAAAATTGCGATGGAGAAAACATGTTGATGCGAAAGCGAGAAAAAAT